CAAAAATTTAATCAATTCTTCATTTCATCAATATAAGTGCAACGTTTTTTAAATCATTTAACCCTTTCCACTCGTAAATTACAGAATTAATAGGTATTTTGCCGCAGAAGCGGCGGCATCCGAGTGGAAAGGGTTAAATCAAACTCTCCGTTCTCTCGAAAACTGAATTGCAATTTTTCGCCTGACCTGTCTTTGCCAAAAACTACAGCACATCTTTCTATCAATAGGAATCGAATGTTTTTTGAATCATCAAATCGGTTGATTCGTGCTCTAGATTTTAGAGTACTCCCAGAGTAATCCCAAAAAAATCGATTTTTTTTTACATATCTATACGTTTCAAAGGTTTCTGGACATTTTGGCATACCTTAGGAAAAATTGATGTATGTGTGTGTGTATTTGTTTAGTATGTATGTATGTATCCGCACATAAATACATACATACATACTAAACAAATACACACACACATACATCAATTTTTCCTAAGGTACGCCAAAATGTTCAGAAACCTTTGAAACGTATAAATATGTAAAAAAAAATATTTTGGATTTTTTTGCAATTACTATAACACTCAGGAAGTTAAGTCTTCTACAATTTATATTGCATAAAAACTCAAGTGATAAAACACTAAATACAGCTACCAACTGCGACCAATTTCTATGTATGTACTTTTTCTATAATTTCAGTAACATCCGCCTAATAACATCTTTTATTTCTGTTCATAATTCTGTAACTTTTTTGTATAAATTTACCTTTTCTTATATTACAATTTTACTTATTTTACTTATTAATTTTATTATTATTATTATTTGCTTTTATTTTATATTAAATCAACATATTACGGATATCATTTTAGTGAAAATTCTATCCTTTATTTTGTGCGCTCTTATTAAAAAATAGACCATATAGCAAAAAAAAGGCTAAAAATACTACTAAAATAACTTAAAATTATTTTCAAAATATAATACTGTTTATCACTGCTATATGTAATTTATTCAACTTTTCGATGCAAACTGAGTCATTATTTATAAAATAGCCTGTGCCTCACAGAGTATGTTTGTCCACTGAGGTGGACAGCCGTCCCCAAAGTGTAAATATATGTATGTTATGTAATTTAAGAAACTATGTATGTACATACATAAGAAAGTTTCAAACTTTTAATAAACATTAATTTCGTTGATATCTATGTAACGTAATTGTTATTTTTTATAAATAATAACATTATTCTTCATACATTCGATTATCCGGATTTTCGATTATCCGAACAATTAGTCTGGTTAATCGAGATTCTACTGCATACGTATAATTTTTTATGAACACTGAATTAAATTTATTTAAAAAAAATGTCAAAACAAAATTAATTCATTAGGGGAGTTTTCGGGACTCGTTTTTGTTGTTTGCCTTTTCGTGTTTGCGAGAGCCTATTTCTACTACCTGTTCGCCAGGGGTTTCGCTTTTCGAATTCTCACTTCCCAGAAGGTATTTGTTTACTTGTCTATTTTCGACGATTTACTTTTGTCGTCGTTAAGCGCCACGCAATTATTTTTTGTGTCCTCGAAATAAATTTAGGTCGAATCATTTAGAATATTTTCGTGTACTTGTTATTAGTAATAGTAGGTATGAGTTATATATGGCTATTTTTTTATTATTGATGCTTTTGCTAGAGCTTTTCAAGTACACACTTATTATTGTACCCTAAATATCTAAATATAGTAATAGATCACTTGGACAAATAAATACATTAAACTTACTGTAATATGTCGGCATAATATGCTCAAAGTACCTTGAAGCCGTTTTTAACTTCCCGTAGGGTAAGTTATTGTAATGGGCCGAAAATCGAAATTGAAAATTTTTACATTTCTCGACGTTTTAAAGGTTTCTGAACATTTTGGCATACTTCAGAAAAAATGGATGTGTGTGTGTATGTATGTATGGATACAATTTTTCGTCCACGTTTTCGGGCGCACGGATCAACCGATTTGAATGGTTTAAAAAACATAAGATTCCTATTGATAAGTAGATGTGCTGATTAGTTTTTGGCAAAGGCAGGTCCAACAGTTACGGAGATAAAGAGCAAAGAGTGCAGAAAATAGAAATCGAGTTTGTGAGAGAACGGATCATCCGATTTGTATGATCCAAAAAACATTCAATTAGTAATGATTGGGAGAAGTGGTTATTAGTTTTTGGCAAAGGCAGGCCCAGCCATTTCGAAGATACGGAGCTAAATGTACAAAAATGGCAGTTTTTGGGAGAACTAAGCGTCCGATTCAATTGATTCAAAGAACTTTCTGCTTGTCTTAAAATAATTGATTTTGGAAAAAAAAAATTTGTTTCACTTTTTTTTTTTAATTTTTTGTATATCGAAAATAATTCAGATTTTATTTTTAATTCTGACTATAGTTCTAATATACTTTAAACAAATAATTTCAACTTCGCAATTCAGTTTATATAATTCTTATAAATATTAGACAATGTTACGATATTCATAATAATCTATCTGAAAACATTCAGTATTCCTCGAACATTTCGTTACGGTACGGGAAGTTCCAGCAATTTGCCTTAAGGCGCGATGCCATGCACCACTAGTTTGATATTGCTTTGCACGCACCGAACAGAGGACCACTGTATTTTGTTGTACAGTAGAAATTCTATTAACCGGACTAATTGTTGTCGATAAGCATTCGGATAATCGAATATATGAAGTAAAATGTTGTGTATTTATTAAAAATTATAAATACAAATATAGATATCAAATAATGCTTATTAAGAAATTAAAACTTCCTTACGTATGTACATACATATTTTCTTAAATAACATTACATACTAACGCAGCATTAATCATACTAAAATTCCACTTGTTCTCAAATTCCAATGTGAAGTTCTTTGATTTGCCGAAAAATTATTATGAAGCGGTAACAATAATAGAACCCTTTATAGAGTAGAGTAGAGCGGAGCTTAAAGGTCGGCGGGTAAAAAGGTCCATTGCCAAAATCTCAAAAACCTGTAAAGTTATGACTTTTTTTTAACAACAATAATTGAAAGTAGATGGAAAAAGATGTATAACCAGCCATACCCTTTGATTTTTGCGACGTTGCTATCGGGAGATAAATGGCAATGTTAGAAAATACATAATAAAAGTATTTTCTTCGGTTATGAGATTTTTTGGTTGTGAGCACTGTTGTTTAGTTTACGATACCTTGATATAATTTTTAAATATACCTTATTCAGCTGTTTTATAAGATGTATTGCTATTTTTAAGTTAGATTCAACAGTTTTTTTTATATAACCTCTATAAAAGCTTACACGTGAGAGGGGTAAAAAGAACCAACTGAACCTTTACCCTGGCAAAAGTGTAAACAATAAAAAGTAGTAAATAATTAAAGAAAAAAAAACAATTTTACAAAAGACAAGTTGAATAATTAGTCAGGTAATAGTTAGGATAATATTTAGTTAGTAAATACCAGATCAAGATTATATACAGTGTTGTGTAGTCTTTGTAAAAAATGTACTCATAAGATTTATATTTTGCATTGGTTGAATAATGTAGCTATTATTTTCTAAAATTTCTTTAAAATTGAAAATAAAGCCTTGGACCAGTATGCCCCGCCTATGGGGTAAATAGGACCAGCTGATAATTTTTTTGAAAAACAGGGAAAAAATACATTTCTACAATAATGATTAAAAGCTGGGAGTTTTACTGAACATAGTCGGATAGCTGTTTGTTTGATATGTGTTATTCGTTGCAAAAAAAAAATAGTTGAGTTTTCACAATATGATTGCTCAAAGTCAAATTCGACCTTGGACGCCGCCTTACACTATAAATAATCTCTATTTTTGCTCAAATATAATTAATATTCTTCAAAAATACGTCTCAGAAAATTATTCATTATTTGCAATAATAGTTATTTATTTTACTAACTAAGAACGCATTTCAGTTAAATATTTGTGTAAAATATAGATACAAATTAAATGCAAAGTTCTTTGATATGCCGAAAAATGAATATGAAGCGGTAAACATAACAGAACCATTATATTTAGAATATCTATTATATTTTTGTTGAAATATACTTTATATTCTTCAAAAAGTGAACTCGGAATATTATTTTGTGTTCGCAAAAATAGTGTTATATTTTACTAACTACTAACGCATTTTAAATGATACAAAATTCTATTTTGTTCAGTAGAAATAGAAAATTTTCACATTTTTGTGAAAAATCAAATCATATAATATAATATATAAAAATCAAATCAAATTATATAATACAAACAAACATGATATAGGAAAAATGTTCAAAAAATACAAGTAAGGCAAAGCGGGGCTTCAAGGACCACCACCGATATCTAAAAACAAGTACATAAAGCTCGGAATTTAACAACAATATTTGAAAGTGCAGGGTAGAATACGTGTAATGTATTTATTTCGCAAAATCTCTTTGTAATTAAAAAAGACGTTTGATCTGTTTGCCTCCTGGCAGTCCCATTTTACCCCGTAAAAAGGAAGAGACAATAAATTTTAGAACAATAGTAAGAAAGCACATTTCTATATATAGGAATTTGTAATTTTACTGAACATAATACGACAGTTGTTTGTTTGATACGTGTTATGTGTTTTTTTGATGTAGTTCATTTGGTTTAGACGGTATAATTATTTAAAGAGTCTAAATTGGACCTTTCTGCCCCACCATAGTGTTCCCTATATTGAACAAGTAGGATGTAAAGAGAAGAAAGAGAAATTTGAAGGTATATAGCAAAAATGGTGGATATTTATTGCGTATAAACCTGGAATATGTGCGTGCGAACGTGTGCATATGCGTACTAGGATATTCAGCATAAAAATGTAAACATTATAAAATAATGTTTTTTTCACTACAATCATTCGTTGCACAAACACAACATATGATTTTGTGATCTAGTACAGTCGGTTTTCGAACTCAAAAATCGTAACCTGAATTATGTTCGGAAGTCATTCGAAATATTATCCAAGTTAATTTAAATGTGCTCACCTTAATTATTCCACGATTAAACGAGGCATGTCTTGGAAGTTGTCGTTCGCGTTCTCTCGATGATTTTATGTTTCTCTACACATTAAATATATAACACCAATATAATATACTAACACTGACACACAGAGACGTTCGTCTAACAGCCAAAAAACATTCCGAACGAAATGTTAATTAAATTCTCAACACAGACACTACCGAACAAACTTATAACAATCAACTGGTTGAGGAGAATAAACGGCGCAGAAAATGTACGCCGGATAAATGTAATATGGAGAACTGTTAGGAAAAACACTAGAAAAACAGTGATAAAGTGAATTAACTTTGCACAAACAACACTGGGTAGATTTATAAACAAATAACACAAAAAATGTTAACAAAAACGTAACAAAAAACGATGGCTAACTTAACAAAAACACTTCCTGAACTTAATGCACCTTTATTGTTGAACTTGGACAACGAATTTGTTACTTAAATAAACAACCGGCTCTTTTAGGTTTGAGTAATTATTAGAAATTTACCAAATGTGTAATTTTACATTGTATTTTTATCCAATTAACTTTATTCGGAGCGCTGCTTCAAAACAGCGTGCGCTCCGCCGTGTGGACGATTCGATACTGACTTTCGAAAAGCGAAACGAAGCGCTTCTCCTCTCTGTCTTCGTCGGGCGGATTCGGATGTGACCTCGCCTTTCGGGCGCTGTTGCCAACTCTTGGTCGCCGTTTCATTCGTGCCGCGAGCTGCAAGAGGCGGCACATCCGACCAAAAGCCACGCCCTCGAAATCTCTCATGTTCCTGAACAATTGTTTGTCACGACCACTGGCGACGCCATCAAACAAACGCGGAATTTTGTTGCGTTTTAGCGTTGTAAATTTGACATTTGATGCCGCTTTGCGTTTTTATGTATTTCGCATCAATGCGTGCTGATAGCGCTGATTAAATGGACGAAGTCCTAGCCAGAACTCGAATGGTCGACTCCTTTTGATAGTGTTTTTATGATTTATTTATAATATACGGGCAGATTGCAATCTCAAAAAATTATTCCGGTTCTTACCGTAATGTCGGAGTCTTTTTTAGCCCACACGCCGGAGCGGAAAAGGGAAATATTGAAATGAGCTCGCGTAACAGCTTATTTTTAAACATATTTATAGTATGGTAGTAAAATGGTCATTCATCAGGCATTATAGCACCCAGGGCAGGAACACAGAGGTAAGGCTTAATATTAATCAATGATACGCCGACTTAAAAATTCCTTGATTCAAGTCAGATAAAAACCCTGATTCGTAATATAGTTCGAATCAACTCGAATCGAGCTTATATATCGGCAAAAGAACAAAAAAAACTCATCGATGTATTTATTTAGTAAATGTGATAAAAATTTATTGTGTAAAGTATGGACCAATAGAAAATCAACCAAAATTACACAGAACCACGAAATGAAAAAGTTGTCTGTATTGGGTGCGCGATATATATTTTCCAAAGCATTTTTTACCGAAGTTGGGGGTCAAACTGTAAAAAACGGATTTTCAACATAATAAACAAAATATTTATCAACTGTTTCTACTATCGTACATCTCGCTTTGGTAGTTATTTCTGTTCAATTTATTATAATCCAACTAATTGTTTCTTGAAATATAGTCGTTACAATTGGGATAAACGCAACTGTTTGAAATACAGAATATTTTATGGGCATATTTTTTTTTTTTTAGAAAGATCACACTGGATACAACTTTCGTATGGAGCTTAATGAGAAGAATTCATCGTCATAGTTGAAATAATTATTAATATAATTTATCTCTTGTAAAATTTCTTCTTATTTTCAAATTATTTAAAAACTTATTTACTATTTTCTTATTGTTTACACTTCGCCAGTATAAAAGTTTAAGTGATCCTTTCTTCCCCAACCGCATGTAAGTTATTCTAAAGCCTAGTTAAAAAAATTGTTGAGTCTAACTTATAAATAATAATACATCTTATAAAACAGTTGAATTACGTATTCTTAAAAAATATATTTAGGTATCGTAAATTAAACAAACGCGCTTCAAAACAAGAAGACCAACAAGGGAAAATAATAAATTGGTTAAAATACTGACAATGTAAGCGTTTATCTTTTGATTACGATGTCGCCTGATTTAAGGGGATGACTAATTTTAATGATCATTTTTCCTCTAATTCAAAATAGTATAGTGAAAAAAAATCCACACTTATTTTGTTTTTGGGATAATGGTTGAAGACCATTTTACCCGCTCTACTCTATTGCACAGTTGCAATATTTTTAGTAAGACGATAGAAGTACAACATGTAAAGGTACACCAAATTTCACAAATACATGGTTTAAAATACATTTATTTGCCTTCAAAAATTGTAGATTTCTTAAGTTTAGGAAATTTTAGAAAAATAAAAAAAACACTAGTAAGAACTAAATTTTCAAAATTAGAAAAAGTGGTATCAATTTACAACTTTAGCAATTACGAATATAATCTACTAATCAAACACGAATAGACTACATTGCAAGTATTATAAAATATAAATTTATTATTTATATAAAATGCTAAACCTGTTTCTTCGTAGCTAATACCTTCCACACCCTGTTGTATAAGGTTAATTAATGTTTTTCCTCCAATAACGTGTTTTTAGAATAATTCTTACTTCTCTGATCGTTAGCGATTTTATTAAAACTAAATTCACGAAGCGTGAAAACTGATAATCTTAAACTAAAATAGATAATAATTAAACTAATTAGAGACATTTACGTCGTTCACGCTCTGTAAACACAATATGTGCCACGATTCTCGGAATATTTCTGATCAGAATTCTATGAAGTTTCGTCTACTAGGCCAAACAGAAATAGATTCTAATTGGAATCGAAGCTTATGATTCTTGTTAAATGGAAAATAATGATAAATCATCAGCGTATAGAGCAAGAACGTCCTTCGGCGACATGGTATTTATTTAAATGCTCAAATTATACGTTTATGTCGTTATTTTATCGATATTTTATGTCCCTTTAATATGACTTGAGATTGTATAATTAATATCTAATGAAAACGTATAATGGAGTTTCAAGCCATATTAAAGTAATTCCGTAATAATTGTATGTTTTTAAAAGAATTTAGTGCTAAGCGGTATTTTGCCTTGGGGCAATTTGTATTATTAATCAATTCAGGTTTTCATCTTTAAAATTTGATGATAGAATTTTATATTATTATCGAGGCACTCTATTCCAATTTTGAATGATGTTTTATAATTGAACCACTTTTAGGAAGACCATAATATTTAAGCATGTTTGATTTGACCTCTATGATCCTCCAATTAAAAAATAATATTATTTTTTCTGTACTTAATAACCGGCTGAGTCAATCTAAACTAATCATCACGATTCCTAACTGATATATTTCAATCAATTTTTGAATTTTCAAAATTGGTTCAAGATTTTTGTCTAAATCGTGGACAAATAATTATGCCCTATTTTGTTAAGTATAAAGAACTGGCTCGAGCGATCGTCGCGAAAAACTATCCAACGCTAGTCTTATTCGAGTTACATCAAATGGTTTCAATTGTTACCTACTGAGTAGCAAACTTCAACAAGTCATCTTATTGTCTTTTAATGTCATAAATTGTTGATAGATATTAAACTGATTCAGTAAAACATTTCTATTTTCGCCGAAACTTGCTATAAAGACACTTTTGGAGCAAACCAAAAATTTTCGAAACGATTTATTTAATTTTGTAGTTACATTTAAGTAATCATTGTTACCCAATTATTTATATATTAGAAAATTAATTTAATCCTAATAAAAATTTAAAAAAGATAAATGTTTTGCCGTTTTCTGTATATTGGTAGACGCTCGAGCGCAACCATTGATTGATTCCTATTAAAAATTACAAATATATAACAATAACATATTGTTTGATTAATATTCAGAAAGACGTTTTAGACGTGTCCATTTATAATCTAAAAAGTCGTTCAAGTTTAATTTATTATATATACAATCAATGTCTTCAAATTTTATCTAAACAAAGAATCAAGTCAAGCTCTTTATCGTATAAAACACAAACAATATTTTCCTGAGCGTTAAAGAGCATTTTATTTTATATATTCGGTATTCGGCCTAATATCAAAAAAGGTGCGGAATATGCCAAATACCGAATAGTAACCGAATATTCGGTTGAAGTCTAGAGATTATCGTTATTTCATGAAGACCATCATTTTATTTTTTCTATCCAGTAGGTATAAAAAATCATTAAATAGTTATATTTTTTTGAAACATACGAGGTCTGTTCAAAAAGTACCCGGAATTTTCGTTTTTTCAAAAAAATATTTATTTATTCGTCTACATTAATGTGGTCCCCTTCAAAGTAGTCCCCCCCAGATATAATACACTTATGCCAGCGTTTTTTGCAATTTTCGAAGCACCCTTGATATTCACTTTTTGATATGTCCTTGAGCACTCTCAGCGATTTTCTTCAATCGAGGAAAACCGCCGTCCTTTCATGGGTCTCTTCAACTTTGGGAATAGGAAAAAGTCACACGGAGCCATATCTGGTGAATTTTTGCACTTTGCAACACTTTATTTCATTTTTTACGCAAAATTTAATACAAATTCTTTGACTTTTCAATTCTTCCATTGTAAAAATCGCCGAGCTCAGAAAAACACGTCGAACCTTAGCGACTACCACAGACAAAGTAAACAGTGAATATAGCTGAAAATTTCATCATACTTTAGGGGCATGTATACCAACACAATAAAAAAAAAATTTTGACTAGCTCAAATTTTCCTGATAGCTCAGTCACGTTTTTGATATTTATGTTATAAAAGAATGTGATTTAGTATCATAATTTCAATGTACGACTTCCGTCTATCAATCTCCTTCTTCGTTTATCTAAATATTTATCTAAATGTTCTTGATCGTATAAATAAAAGTATCAAACTGGCATTATCGCTGTTGCACTATCAATGATTACCGTTGACATCTACATATAAATAAAATACACGTGTGAAACGCGAATGAGCATATTATAAAGTCTGTATATAGAATTAAAATGCGCAGATTAATTACTTTCTGAAAGATAATTTTAAATTGTATACATAAGTGATCTAAAGTTTTTTGTTGGATTTTCATAAATGTCATAGTAAATTTTATTGGTCGTTACTATAATTCACTAATTATAGTATGAGAAAAATATTATAGTAAGAAATTAAATAAAATGATCTTGGTTTGCAGTATGTTGTTAACCAGCACAGCATTGACGATGCTATACTTTTTTATAACATCTATATATCGCGTTTAACTCTGGATTGGAAAAAGTGCTAGAATTTCTGGTTTTATAAACAGGTA